TAACTCACCCAATGCTCGCTCTGGGCCCTTGTAACTATTCCCACACTTCGGACGCAGCCTGCCGCCTGGCTGGTCGTGCTCGCCGAGGTCAAAACTCTTTCCATCTATTCTCCGTTCCTCTGTGTACACAATAAACTATTCCTATTATTTTGGCCTCTACTGACTTCTTCTCTACTAAGTTACCATGGTCTACAGATTGCAGTTGCTAGGGTTTAACTCACTTAAGCCCCCGCGATACCTACAGTGATTGGTGTCAAGAATGTTAACCGAACTTCTGAAATGCGTTCGCGATTAGAAAAAAACTACTCAAGCGGGTTTGTGATATTTATTATCTCACAGCATAATCTCAAAATACGTCAGACACGCCTCAATGCCCTCTCTCTCAAATGCAGGTAATTTCGGCCGCCTGCGAAAAATGCACAGGGGCAGTCACCACTTAAGTAGTGTGCATTTTTATAGTTTTTTTGATGCCTTATAAAATAATTTGCATTTTATAGAAAATGTAGACCAGGTGAATCTTTACTGGGTTCATTTTGTAGCACATCACGCATTCCATAAATTTTATGCTCGAAGGAGGAGTATATATGCGTTTTAAAAAATACAATTTTCGAATCATTTTAAGCCCGATGTGCCGCTGCATTCGAGTTTAAGGTTTTCGTTCTACAGTCTGTATGCTTTATCTGTAAGTAACATTACACGTGCTTTTTTTTCTACTTCAAAGATAGCACATAGTGCTTTTAATATTTTGCCGTGCATGTACATAATTAGGGACTTTTTTAAAAACTGTAGGATACCCTCCCTTTGGATGCAAAATTCAGATAAGAATTTACAGAGACATCGAAAACCAATAAATAAAAAATACTTCTTAAGAAGTCAAGTTTTACTGAGTGCGGCTTTTTTATGGTGTCATAAATGATGTGCACTTTATTGTCGGTCTCCAGTGGTGATTGACATAGTCCGAGGTTATACCACACGGTGATCAATATTGCAATCCCTGTTGCCATTTTATTATCCCGTTAAGGCGACTTTATGATACCCCTAATTACAATTACGGCTTTTCCACGTAACTACAGTACTGGCCTTCGTAAGCATACTAACTAGAAATTAGCACTTTAGCATAGGCACGTACCTATAGCAGCAGTATCTTAGTCCGTACCTAGAAGAACCGTACACAGCTCGATGGATGGAGTTGAGAGGGCGGAAACCAAGGCAAACGCTGCTGTGCTCATGACCCT